ATTTAATCTCTTATAAAATAATTAAAAATTAAATAATAAATAAATAACATATAAAAGTGGTTGCGTGGGAAACACGGGTTTAAAGCATAAAACGACAAATGAATTGTAATGAAACGCACGCTAAAGTCAAATAAGAAAACAAAGCATGGGCAGAAAAAGAACGAAAAGGGCCAAAAGACTAACGACTTTTTTTTTCTGTTTCATTTCAACATCAACATGCACGGAATTTTTGGAATGTGGCCAATCATTTTATTTGCAGCAATAATAGAGACCGTAAAATTTAGAATTTTAAAAAGACTACTAATGACATGGTATTCAATAAAAAAAAATACAATACTAAGGTCAAAACATTAAATCATTCTTGTGGATCCTATTGCCACATCATTAGTGATAGCACTAATTAGTGCTCTTATTCATTTTCCTTTTATTTGAGGCGATAAATCCCTTTAGAATAAGGATTACATTGAGTGAGTTTGGTTTTAATTTTTTAAAAGTTAAAATTTTTTATTTTTTGTGTATTTTTATTTTTAGTAATTATTTTTAAAATTTTAAATATTTTTTTATATTTTTAGATGTACTTTATTTAGATGTATTTAAATAGTAAAATATTTGTGAAAAATATTTTAAAGAATTAATAAATACACAAAAATACAAAAAATATATTGAATTTTTATATTTTTTTGATATTTAGTATATTTTTAAAAAAAAATTCACAAATATTATACTTTTTGAGTTTATTTATATTATGTGTGTCTAAATTTTTTTAAAAAATGCTTAAAATATTACAAAAATTTATTGAAAATATTAAAATACGAAAAATAAAAAATAAAATTTTTTAAAAACTGTTTTCTAAAAAGCAGAACCATTTAATTTATTTATTTTCCTTATAGAGTTAACTTTAAATATCCATAATTACGGATGAAACACAAAAAACATGCTTGTGTCAAGGGGAAATTTATGCTTGGATTTGGAAATTTATCTTTGCAAATAATGCATTTTAATTTATGTGCGTCTTTAAGTAATATGTTAAAAGGATTTTTAAAAAAATGCATTTATTCATAAATTCCTCTTCATTTATTTATGTAACAGTTCTATTAAGTCTAAATTATTTTTTTAAAATAAGTTGTACAAGTGATATAGTTACTAAAATGCCCTTAATAATAATATTCATATTGATAGTGTGAATATTTTGTGATGTAAACATTCACACTGTCAATGTAAATATTCATACGTCAATGTGAACATTCATACTATCAAATATGAATGTTTACATCACAAAATTACTAAGCGTTCAAAAAATATTTGTAAAGAAAAAATTGTCTATAAAATATCTTAAATATGATAATTTTGATTTAGTGGATCAAATGTCTAAATGATAGAACTTATAAAAATATACAACTATGTTATAGACTAATTAGGAAACAAGTGTTTGAAAAAAAAAATTCATAATAAATTCCTCTTTAAAAAAATTATATATTATATATTATGTATGAATATGGCTGTAATAAAAAATATATTTTTAAAATTTTCTTAATATGCATGCAGAAGACACACATTAAACTAAGAGGACACTAATAATTCCTATTTCTTAGGACTCCTCCCTCATTATTTTTTAGGTAAATTACAAATACACTCCCTGAAATTTGATTAAAATACGAATCGCCCCTTATGGTTTTGAAAATTACATTCCACCCCTGAGGTTTCTAATTTCATAACAAATCGCTCATTTTATTAATTAATCATCAAATCAATTAACATTTTTTAATGATATTAAAAATATGTTTCAATTGATAATTTAGGTAATTTTATTATTGTATAGGAGAGCAATTATGAATTTCATTCTCTTAGTTAATTTAATTCTGTTAAATAAAAAATTTTAATAAGGGAGTATTTGTAATTTTTCAAATCACATGGAGCAATCTATATTTTAAGCAAAAGTAAACCTCAGGGGATGCATTTGTAATTTACCCTTATTTTTTTATTACAATTTTACTTTCAAATAAAATATCAATTTTATTGTTATCCTTACCCACCAAAACCTAATCCTAAACTCTATCCCTACCTTTCACCCACCAGTACCCTCGATCAGCACTCTTCCAAGTAATCCTTTAGCTACCGTAACCCTCCCTAGCCCCTTCCTACCTTAGTCACCATTTCTACTGACACTACAAGAAAAATTACCTTTGGCGACTCCAAAGGTCCATTTTTAGTCGTCGAAAGTCGAGTTTTTACTTTTCCCGACTAAAATTTTTAGTCACCCGTTTTGTCACGTATACATGGTCGCTGGAGGTATTGGCGACTAAAATTTTTTTAGTCGGCAAAAAAAGCTCTTTAGCGACCAACGTTTTAGTCGCCAATAGTGATTTACACTTTTTTAAATCACACATTTAGCGACTAATCTTTTAGTCGCCAATACTCACTGAATCTCCGACTAAACCATTTAGTCACCAAAATAAACACTTTTGATGACTAATTTTAGTCGCCAAAGGTGCTTCCGTGAAAAAAAAAAAACCAACTTTTTTGCTTTTTCTGATATTCGAACCGCCAACCTATCTCACTTTCTAAACATTTAGCAACACACTCCCTCCACTATACCACTACAACACCACATGAATATATATGCAATATATATTATTTATATAGTATATTTTCGCCGTATTAATATAAAACTATATATATAAATATAATTATTTTTATTCAATATAATTCATGTAAAAAATAAATTATTTACTAAAAAAAAATTGAGACCACTTTCGGCGACTAAATCCATTATTTAGTCGCCAATTCTATAATTTTGGGCTACTAATTATTTTTAAGTCGCTAAGAAAATTCATTCCGCCTAAAACTAACTAGTTCTGGCAACTAAACCTGTTTTTAGTCTCCAAAAAGTCCCCTTTTGGCTACTAAATTGAACTTTAGTCGCCAATTACCTGTTTTTAGCTACTAAATTTTTTTTAATAGCCAAAAAACTTCACTTTCAGCGACCAAACTGTTTTTAGTCGCCAAAACACGTAGAATCGGCGACCAAACTATTTTTCAGTCGCCAAAACCTATACTTTTGGCTACTAAATTATTTTAGTCGCCAAAAACTGTCACTTTTGGCTACTAAAAAACCTTTAGTCGCTAAAACCCTTATATTCGACGACTGAACTGACTTTTAGTCGCTAAAACCCTTATATTCGGCGACTAAACTCTTTTAGTCAGCAAAAGTGATCAATTTTGGCGACTAATTCCATTTTAGTCGCCAATTCTACTACTTTCAGCGACGAAAAACCCAATTTTAGTCGCGAAATTTGCTTTTTGTTGTAGTGTTACCTCTTGATAAGGTGCAAGAGTTTCGATAAATCCAAATCATAATCCAATTATTCTCTCCTAATAGCATCTCCCCTTTCACTACTTTTTTTTCCACCTAATTTGATTTAAAATTTAAATAATAAATTTGATTTGATGCGAACTATTTAAACCCTTTCATCAAGACGTTTTTAAAAATTTCCCTTATCACAAATATTTGTGGGATAAATTATACTCACCTCCCCTAAGATTTGACAAAAAGTAGGTAGTCCAATAAATTTGACATAAGTACACTAATCTCTGTTTTGGTAAAGTTAAAGTCATCAAATTCAAAACTAATATAGATAGTGGGTAGACACATATATAAACAAATATTATATATTTTAATAGAAAAGACACAACAATATTATTTTTTTCATTAATACGCCTCACGAATTATTGATAAAACAATATTAAAGTGTTATATGAATTAAAATCTAGAAAAGTTGCTGTAACTATGTTAAAAGTGTGGCGCTAAGTGTGTTTTTTTCAAAATTTTAGGGGATTTGAGTGTAATTTATACTCTTTTTTCCCATCAAATTTGATGAAAAAAATTGGGTAATTTACATTAATCTTCCTTAAGGTTTGGAAAAAATACAACAAACCTTACAGTTTTGATATAATTATATTAAATTATATTTTAGTAAGGTTAAAAAAATCAAAATTAAATAAGATGATATGAAGACACAAATAAATATATATTTTAATGTAAAAGAGAGGACAATATATTTTTTTTCCCATTCGTATGAGTAACAGATTTTTGATAAAAAAAGGAGCAAGTATTATATGAATTAAAAATTGAAGTAGACCAATGTAATCATGTCAAATTTGTGGGACTTCTTTTTTTAAAACATCAAGGGAGGTCAATATAATTTACCCAAAAAAATTATCTTAGATACTCTTTTTTTTTATATAATTTTTATCAAATTCAAATAAGATGAATGCTTAATTTGATTTTTAAAAAAATTCCTCCATCAATTTAATCAACAATTGATGAAAGAATTAAAAATTATTTTAAATATTATTTCATTAAAATTTAAATTTAAAGAAAAAAAATTAAGAATTAAAAATACGAATCAAACATAGCCATAATGAATGTGATTCATTACTAATTTCCTTTTTAAAACTTCGAAAATGCTAACTAATATTTCATAATACTTGTTAATATTGTAAATGTGAGAAAAAAATATATTAAAAAAATGTAAAAAATTTATAAAATAATATTAAATTTAGTAATAAATATTTTTCAGTTGACATATTTTTGTCATTTTCTCGTAGCTTAGACCCTGGTTAACTAAACCCTTCAAACTGTACCTTAGCTCTTTTTAGAAAGTGAGTTAAAAATTATTTTTTTAATTTTTAATTTATTTTAAATCAAATCCTCTTTCATATTTTTTATACATTTTTTTTAAAAATTCAAAACATTAATTTTTAACTATGCTCCTAAAATAACCTTAAACCAACTGACTAACTATATTCCTAAAATAACCTTAAACCGACTGACAATTGGGCCACGTTTTAGGAGTCAAATTTTTTAATCAACCTATAGAGAGGGAGTGTGTGTGTGTGAGAGAGGGAGAGAGAGAGAGAGACAGAGACAGACAGAGAGTGAGTGACTTTGATCGTCAATGGCTAGTCAATTTTCTCTCACAAATGGGGGAAGAATATTCCTCTCTCTCTCTCATCTATATAGTATGTGTACATACAGTATGTATAGTCCTTCACTACTAAGTATGTGTACATACAGTATGTATAGTCCTTCACTACTAATAAGGACTATATATTTGGTCCATTCTGTGAGCCTCCTCGTTCATTTTCTGCTTGTGAAGTCTCTGCATCTGCTGGTACATATCTCTCTCTCTCTCTCTCTCTCTCTCTCTACTTGCATTTACTTTGATCAGACTCTTTCTCTAATCTTTGAATGCCAACTCTTTTTTAGTTGCTGATTTTTGCTTCATTAGTTGTGGGTAGAACCCATTATTTTCATTCACCCTCCGTTTGGCTTCTTGGAAAACCCAAGAGAAAGAAAAGGAAAAGATCAAGATTTCCATTCGTTTGCTTGTTTACTTGAGTGGGCTTTATTTATTTTATTTATTTTTCGGTTCTTCTTGTTCTTTTTTATGTTAATTTTTTGTATACTATACTTGAATTTTTTTTCTTATTTTCTTATGTTTTCTCTGCAATCTAACACAGCATATCTGTATTTTTTAGCTGTTTAGTTAGAGGATTAACCAATTTCATGTGTCATTACTCTGTCTGGACTATCATTAATTAAACTTGTTAATAATGTCTACTTAACTTCTCAAGGAAAACCTGAAATTTCCCATAATTTCTATCTAAAGTCGCTACTTTCTTTTTTGAACTTGTATTTTCTTTTTCCCCAATTGTCACATGGCTGCTCCAATTAAGCATTTCTAGAAAAGGCAACCATCACCATTTTTTAATAGCTTTTTGGTTTTTAATTTTGTTTGATGAGGTTATATGGTTTCTTCTGTCTATCAATTTTGAGTTAATTTTGGGGTGATAGATAAGTTTTGATTGCTTTCTTGTTTTGAGTATGTCTTTGGCATGTAATAATATTCCCAAAATTGCTTTGTTTGTTTGTGTCTGTGTGTGTTGTTATCCCATGATTTGACGCATCCCTTGAAATGTGCTAATTTTTTGTATCAACGGTGAGGTTTTGGTTATATGCAACTTATTGTTTGCTGAGTTTTCACAAAACATCATAGTGCTTTATTTTTCTTTTACAAATACTATGATCTCCAAAATTTTATAGGAATTGCTGTCCTTCTGTTGATATTAATGCCTCTTGTCTACTGAATCCGTTGATGTCTGAAAAGTTACCTAGATTGTTCAAGTGGTTGATATCAAAGAGCTAGGTGTTATTGACTTTATTGCATGTACTGCAGTCTGCATGTACAGTCCTGAGATGTTAATGTGTGAGGAACAATCTTCTATAGGAAATTTTAATTTGTTATGCTCAATTGCTAAGCTCTATCTACTAATTAATAAGATTTTCTTTTTCTTTTATGTTCCAACGTAATGATAGTGAACTTGGTTACCGTTACTAGTTTTCCATGCTATTTCTTCTAACCTCAAGTTGATAGATATTAGGTTCACTGATTTTGACCTTTATAGTTATTAATAATCATTATGATTTTAATGGATTGGAGAAGTTAAAATGATTTATTGAGGACCAAATAACAAATCATGGTGTACTAGAAAAGTGTCAAATTTCATCAATGTTGCAGAGTATTACAAGGTGTAAGTATCTCACAAAAGCCATAGTACAATTCAAAGAAAATATACAATGATAAATGGGATTAAAATCTGTTAGCATTTAAGGGGCCTAAGTTAACCTGGAAAGCGTCTCGATTGTGGTATTTGAGACCTAGGATAGAACCCTACCATCATTATGGTTGGGAGGGAGTGGGGGGAGGACCATGCCCAATTGTATAGCCCATTTTCTCCTCTAGACCAACACAGGAAATAAGAGGAAGAAAAAAAGAAAAAAAAAAAAAATCTCATAGGTACTAACCATGAAAAACAGTTCTAGCTTATACATGGCAGGAATAGAAAATAAAGAGGCATGGAAAAAAAAAAATTTGGATATACAAAAATCAAATGACAGTAGTTCATACTTCATAGCCTAACTAGCGTGGACACTTGTAGGAAGGGATGTAAAAAAACATTAGTATGGATATGGGACGCAGAAACATCACCATATGGACATGTTGATGCAACAATTTTGAAAACCAAGACACGTTCATCGGAAGAACATGACTTTTTGTTTTGATAAGCAACATCTGGGGAACATGACAATAAATAAATATCTATTTATATGCATATTACATAGAAATATATAATAAAAACATAAGTCTGAGGATGTGTTATATAAAGGAATGATTCACTTATGTAAGTACAATGGAACCACTGTTCTAACCTGAATCAACCAGAGCTATATTGGGTTGGTTGGTTCCAATGGAGCATTGGTTTGCTCTTGGGTCCAAAAACCTAGAACCGATCATGATTGGTTTGGTTTGAAATTTAGTGCTAACCCAACCCAAACCAACCCAACCTATGCACACCCCTAGTTCTGGGTGAAGAGAAGGCTAACACAGCCTCATCTCCTTGTCTTCCGGCACAATGAAAAAAAACAATATGCCTTACTCTTGTTGTGTACCGCTATCAACTTATGACATAAAAAAGAAGAATCTTGTGATTACTAGATATGAAAAATCTAAGTTATCTCTCTATTGTTTTTTTGTGCTACTTTTTGCTGATGATGCATCTTGTTAGTGCCAGAATTCCATTCTAGTTAGGTTTTTTAATCCTGTAGGCAAAACCCATTGGGGTTTGTACATAATTGTTCATACATTGGCCTACCAAGGTAGATTGTTGGATCATGTTCAATTTGTGGTGAATTCCAGAGGTATTCTGCATTTTTTTTTTGTTTTGGGGGGGGGGGGGGGGATTGAGGACCAAATAACGAATCAATACTCAAGTCTCAACCAACTATTGATGGAGATCATGGATTTGATCGGTACAAGCACACCAACAAGTTTGTGGATTCAATTAGAGTTGTTTTGTAAGTTGTAATTTATATTTTGTTCTTTATAGTGGATTGGTTGATTGGACTAGGTCCTGTGGTCTTTTCCAGATGGTTTTCCATGTTAAAATTCATGAGTCTCTGTTTGTGTGATTGATTTATTTTTATGCTTGCAATTTAGATTGAATGATTAAATTAATTAACCAAAGCCACCAAAGCAATCCATATCAACGAATAAATTTTTTCCCAATTGGTACCAAAGCATAATGATTTTGCATATCATAGTATTATATGTCTTGAGGAACATTGAGTTATTGTTTCTTGCTGCATTTTGCATGAGGTGGCGGCTTTGATCCTTTATGGAGTTTGATTTCCTCTTGTTCTTGTTGATTAATGCATTATATTCTTTAAGAATGGAGAATGCATAAGAACCCTTCAAGCATTGAAAGATTTGTATGACCCCAAAAACTATATATATACCAAATTTTTTTATTTTTTTTGCATAATATATATATATACCAAATTGTGCATTGGACTATGCTTTCAAAATAGCCAGTCATTACCTGAATACATTAGTTGGCATATCTCATAATCAGCCAATTATTATTAACTTTCTGCTTCCAATTTTAATTGTCTTTTTCATCACATTGTATGTAATATAGTTGAACCCCATTTCATTTCAATCAATTTCTTTTCCTTTTCTTCTTCTTTTTTATTTCTTTATTTTCAATTGCTGATTTTAGTACTGGAATAATGAGACTGCAGGAAAAGTCGCTTGGACTCAATGGGTAAGACAATTCAGCTTTCTGGGTTTCCTCACCTTGTGTCTGCAGAAAGGGTTAAGGAATTCTTGGAGAAACATACTGGCAAAGGAACTGTATATGCTTTAGAGGTTAGGGAGCCCAAAAAAAGAGGATCAAGAACATATGCTACAGTTCAATTCACTTCTGCCAAAAGTTCTGAGCATATTATCTCCTTGGCTAATCAACGCCTGTATTATGGATCTTCTTATTTGAAGGCTTACGCAAAGGACTTCGATATTGTACAAAAGCCAAAGGTCTATGTGCACGACATGGAAAGTGTAACTCTATATTTTGGATGTCAGATCTCAAAGGAGAAGTTTTCGGTGCTCTGGAAAAAGGCAAATGTCTCTGTGAAATTTGGTTTTGGACTAAGAAAACTGTATTTTTTCTTGTCCTATCTTTCTGTTGAGTACAAGCTCGAGTTATCCTATGAGAACATCTGGCAGATTGAGCTTCGTCGTCTGCAAGGTCAAACTGCAAAGTTTCTGCTCATTCAGGTTTGCCACCATAAAATTTTTATTATTGGCATTTCGTCATTTGCTTCTCTTTGTACTCTTCCTTCTGAATAAACTGCATTTCTTTTAAGCACTGTTATGTCCATTGCATAGGTTGAGTAAGTTGCAGGTCCAGGTTGTGTGGTGATTTAGCTTATGGTTTTTTGTAATTATTAATGATTGGCCTATCTACAAGCAAATTAAGGTGTATTACAACTTAAGTGTCTCATTCTCAGTTGTTTTCAAAAAGATTAAAGCTGTAAGAGTTACAATCTTCTTGGAGAGATTAGCCTTAGATTGCAGAATTCTTAATCAGAGCTAGCTATTACACAGTCTTGGGTAGAATTCGACCCTAAAAGCTAGCTGTGAAGGTGAGAGTGCCCCTAAGAAGCACAAACACTTCTAAGAAGGTGCGTGTCTCTGTCTAACACTAACACCTATCTTTTCCACCTTCCACCCCTTCTGCTGAGTATCTTTCCACTGACTGCCCCTAGGCCATTTCTATTTCACCTCTGGCCACTTCTCATCCTCCATTGTTAGTCTATTCTCGTCGCAAGGCTCCTCCTCCACCAGTTGTCTCTGCTCCGGTTGCTCCTCCTTCTGTTTTTGAAAAATCTATTTTGATCCTGCTGCACACCAATATCCTACTCGAGCGCGTCCTCCTCCAAACAGGTTGGGTTGGTCTGATATATGTTTTTTTGCTTCCTATCATACTTTTTTGTCTATTATTCATTCTTTTGCAAAACCTCAGTCTTACAAGGAGGCCTGTCAGGATTCTAATTGGGTACGAGCTATGGCGGATGAGTTGTTTGCCTTGCAGAAGACTAACACTTGGACGTTGGTTCCCTTGCCTGTTGGCAAGAATCTGGTTGGTTGCAAATGGGTCTATAAAGTCAAGACTCTTTCTGATGGTTCTCTCGAGCGATACAAAACTCGTTTAGTTGCCAAGGTTTTCTCACAGGAGTATGATATTGATTATGAGGAGACCTTTGTCCCTATTGCCAAGATAACTACTGCCCGTACCTTAATTTCTGTAGCTGCTGTTTGACATTGGCCTCTCTATCAGATGGATGTTAAGAATGCTTTTCTTAATGGCCATCTCATTGAGGAGGTCTACATGCATCCACATTTTGGCCTTCCTCATTCATTTGGGAAGGTGTGCCGACTTCAACATGCTCTTTTAATGGTTTAAAGCAATCTCCTCATGCTTGGTATGATCGCTTTCAAACTACTGTTACCGAGCTTGGGTTTCACCTTTCTGCCTTTGACTCTGCTTTGTTTCTAAGACATACCTCGGTTGGCTTTGTTGCTCTCTTACTCTATGTGAATGACATGATCATCAGTGGTTCTGACTCTTCTGCTATCTCTGAGGTCAAGCAACATCTCTTCCACACCTTCGAAATGAAGGATCTCGGTTCTTTGCGGTATTTTCTTGATATTGAGGTTGCTTATTCTTCAAAGGGCTATTTTCTATCCCAGGCTAAGTATTCTAATGAGTTTATTCACCGTGTTGGTCTTACTGATACTAAGATTTCTGATACACTCATTGAGCTTATTGTGAAGCTCAACTCTACTGATGGTGTCTCACTGGATGATCCTACTTTATATCGAGAGCTTGTGGGTTACTTAGTTTATCTGACGGTTACTCATCCTAGTCTTGCCTATGCTGTTCATGTGATTAGCTAGTTTGTTTTTGCTCCTCGCTCTACACATTGGGTTACTTTGGTTCGAATTCTTTGCTATCTCCGGAGCACTATTTTTCAGGGTTTACTGTTGGCTTCTACTTTCTCTTTGGACTTAGTGGCTTATGTTGATTCTGATTGAGCTGGTGATGGCACTGATCACAAGTCCACTTCTGGCTTCTGCATGTTTCTTGTGATTCCTTGATTTCTTGAAAAAGTAAGAAACAGACTGTTGTTGCACGTTCTACTGCCGAGGTTGAGTACTGTGCTATGGCTTATGCCACTCCTGAGATTGTTTGGCTTCGTCGTCTCTTGACTGATTTGGGTGTCCCTCAGTCTTCTTCGACATCCTTTTACTGTGACAACCGTAGTGCTATTCAGATTGTCCATAACATTGTCTTCCATGAGTGGACGAAGCACATTGAGATTGATTATCATTTTATCCGTCAGCATCTGCAGTCTGGCTCCATCTCGCTTCCTTTCATCTCTTTGGCATTGCAACTTGCTGATTTCTTTATCAAGACTCACACCACTATTCGCTTTCATTTTTTTTCTTGGCAAACTCTCAGTGTTTTCTGTTAGCATATTATATTATTTTCTGAGTTTTTTGGTTTGTAATTATTCTATGCCCTCAGGGCTCATCTTGTAATTGTCTCATCTTGTAATTGTTACAAACCCTAATCTTCATTTATATAAATAGGGGATGATATCCTATCAAACCCTTAAGCTGGTTACTCAAGCTTCATGGTATCAGAGCAGAACCTCTAGGGTTTTGGCTCACCCTTGTTGGTCGACCTCTGCACCAACGACACTCTAGGGTTCGAAACTTACTTAGGTTGATCATCTACTGCGTTGATCTTCAGCTCGTCGATCCCTGCTTCGTCTGCATCACTCAGTCGCCGTCGTCACTCAGTCACCTTCCTCTGTCGATCGTCACTCAGCCGCCTTCCTCTGTCGCCTTCGTCACTCAGCTGCCTTCCTCAGTCGATCTCCTCAGCTCGTCGATCTCCTCCAGCAGTTCGTCGATCTCCTTCTCTGGTATACTCTCATCTCTGTTTGGTATACCTATGTCGTGTATAAACACCGTACCAATACATATATGAATGAATAACTAAATAAATACAAAACTAAAAAAAAAATTGGTTTCTTAATTTTGTTATGCTTTTATAGTGGTTATTGTGCCTGTTCTTTCACCACCACCTTCCGGGTTTGTGATTGCCACTAGTTTTGTTGCGGGTACGGTAGTATAGTATCCATGGCAGATTCCACCAGTGTGTCCCCTACTTCTCAAACACCGAGGAGTGAGAGTCCCATTATACATACTACCATGACTGAGAACCCCAACCCTAGTCTGAAAATCACCACCTCTCTATTTAATGGTCAGAACTACCTATTATGGTCTCAAAGATTGACTATATTTTTGAAGAGCAGAGGGAAGAGAGTGTATGTTGATGGCAGGATACAGGCACCTAGTACCACTGACTCGGGTTATGACCAATGAGAGATTACCAACTCCTTGATTATGGGTTGGCTTATTCATTCGATGGTTCCTGAAATTGGTGAGGGCTACTTGTCTATGGAGACTGCCCAGGATGTTTGGGATGCTGTGGCTGCCACCTATTCCCGCAAAGAGAATTTCTCACAGGCATTTGAGTTGCCCGGCTCTATTGAGCGCTCACTTCAGGGGGGAACAGACTGTTCTGCAGTATTTCACTTTCCTCACCAACGGCTGGAAACGCCTTGACCACCTGCAAGACTATAAGCCTGTTTGCCCTGCTGATTCTGTCGGGTACAAAAAGTTCATCGCACAGGAACGGGTCTTTACATTTCTGGTAGGCCTAAATGTGGAGTATGATCCAGTTAGGGGTCGAGTTCTGGGTATGGACACTCTTCCTTCACTTCAGGCGGCATTTGCCTATGTACAGAATGAGGAGAGTTGCCGGTCTGCTATGATGTCCCCTATCTCTACTGACCGCTCAGCATTACTGTCTACTCCTCGAGATGGCCTCAGCCTGACTCCCATCCCTCCATCTGCTGCTAAGGAGTTTGTATTCTGTGATTATTTCAAGAAGCCGCGGCATACTCGTGAGACGTGTTGGAAGCTTCATGGGACTCCATCCGGGGGTCGAGGTGATCGGTCTGGTTCTCGAGGAGGTCGGTCAGGCCAGTGTAGAGGACGTGGTTCCTATTCCCGAGCTTATCAGTCTAGTGCCGTTGATACACTTGATTTTAATTCTGCTTCTGTTGGCCAAGCTTCTGATGCTATGCTGAAAGATGCTTTGCGCCAATTGTTGGACCGCCGGTCTTCTACTGCTCTCAGTACAGTTTCCTCGTCCTTTGCCTGCTCAGGTAACTTAGCCTCTTCTCCTTGTGTTTTCCTGTGTCATAAGTCTTTGCCTTGGATTATTGATTCTGGTGCCTCAGATCATATGTCTGGCTCCTCTGATCTTTTCTCTGCCTATAAGCCCTCTTCAAGTCAGGACAAAGTTAGGATTACAGATGGTACTATTTCTTCCATTTCTGGAAAAGGTTTAGTCCAAGTCACTCCTACCATACCTCTATCTTCTGTTCTTCATGTTCCCAATTTTTCTGTTAATCTGTTATCCTTGAGTCGTCTTACCCAGGATTTGAATTGTAGTGTGACATTTTTTCCTGATCATTGTCTTTTTCAGGGCCTTGTCACGAGGAGGACGATTGGCAGTGGTAGTGCAGAAAATGGTCTCTACTTCTTGGATCAACCGGACAAACTTGCTTATTCTTCCATCACGTCTTCTATTACCCCCGCTGATTTATGGCTGTGGTATCGGCGTCTTGGGCATCCTTCCTTTTATTTACTTAAGCATTTATTTCCATCTGGTTTCGCAAATCATCATGTGTCTGACTTTCTTTGTGAGTCTTGTCAACTTGAAAAACAACACAGAGCTTCTTTTGCTCCCAGTTTGAATAAAAGTTTAGTTCCTTTTTCATTAATACATTATGATGTTTGGGGTATGTCTGTGAAAAGTCATCGATGGTTTGTTACATTTATTGATGATTTTTCTTGTGCTACTTGGGTGTATCTCATGAAAGATAAAAGTGAGGTTTTCTCTGTGTTTCGCAATTTTCATCAAATGATTTGTACTCAGTTTGGGGCCACTGTCAAACTATTTCGTTCTGATAATGGCAGGAAATACATAGATTCTGGGTTAGGACAATATTTTTCTACTCATGGCATTATCCATCAGACCTCTTGCACCAATACCCCTCAACAAAATGGGGTGGCGGAACGCAAAAATCGGCGTCTTCTTGACATGGCTCGGTACATGTGTTTTTCTATGAGTGTGCCTCAGCCCTATTGGGGCGACGCTGTTCTCACCGCTGCCCATCTTATTAATCGTCTCCCTACCCAGGTCTTGCAAAAACAAGCTCCTCTTCACGTCCTCCTAGGTTCCTAGTCCTTGTTTTCTATTCCTGCCAAAATATTTGTTTGTGTCTGTTTTGTTCATAATCACTCTTCTTCCCGTGATAAGTTGGACCTTCGCTCCCACAAGTGTGTTTTCCTTGGTTACTCTCCTACTCAAAAGGGGTATAAATGTTACCACCCTTCTTCTCGTAAGTGGTTTGTGTCCATGGATGTTACTTTCTTTGAGTCCCAGTCCTATTTCTTGTCTTCTCCGATGTCACCGTCCTCATTTCTGGGGGAGCCTTGGTGTGAAGTGAGTCCTGTGCTTCCTATGGTGAACCCAGTTGTTCTTGCACCATCCTCTTCTACTGTGCTTCCTATGGTGGAACCAGTTGTTCTTGCATCACCCTCTTCTACTGGGACTATAGAACCCAATGTCACCAAGGATAAGGACGGACATGTTTATGTCCGGGACATAAACAGACAACAAGTGAACTGGATACAAAGGACCACTTCTACTCCTCCACTGCCATCTGCTGCTTCTGATGAGAGTCTAGGTAACTTTGAATCTCATGAGTTCATTGATTTTGATGTTCCTATTGCCAAGAGGAAGGGTGTAAGATCTTGTACTCAACATCCTATCTCACATTTTGTGTCCTACTCTCATTTGTCATCCTCATATAGAGCGTTTGTGTTCAATATTTTCTCTGTTAGCATTCTTAACCATTTTCAGGATGCTCTTGCTACCTCTGAGTGGAAACTAGCCATGATTGAGGAAATGAAATCACTTAGGAAGAATGGCATTTGGGAATTGACTGAGTTACCTACGGGAAACGACTTGTGAGATGTAAATGGGTATATACTGTGAAACACAAAGCAGATGGGTCTATTGAGCGTTACAGGGCAAGACTTGTGGCAAAAGGGTTTACTCAGACATATGGCATTGATTATCAGGAGACCTTCGCACCCGTGGCTAAGATGAATTCAGTCAGAGTACTTCTCTCTCTAGCAACTAATCTAGATTGGCCGCTTTATCAGTTTGATGTCAAGAATGCCTTTCTCCATGGTGACCTCGAAGAAGAGGTATATATGGACATTCCTCCTGATTTTGAGGATCATCAGACAGAAGGCAAAGTATTCAAGCTTCGGAAGTCATTATATGATTTCAAACAGTCTCCAAGGGCTTGGTTTGAGAGATTCACTCAGGCTATGTTTAAATATGGCTTCAAACAGAGTCAGGCAGACCACACCTTGTTTGTGAAACATTCCTCACGTGGTAAGACTACAGCACTTATTGTTTATGTAGATGACATAGTTCTTACGGGCAATAATAGTAGGGAAATACCTCTGTTGAAGAAATATTTAGCTAGTGAGTTTGAAATCAAAGACTTGGGAAGCTTGAAGTATTTTCTGGGAATTGAAGTTGCTCGCTTTAAGGATGGGATATTTATCTTACAGAGAAAATATGTGCTTGACCTGTTGAAAGAAACTGGGATGCTTGGCTGCAAGGCATGTGCCACCCCACTGGAACCTAATCAGAAATTGGGGGATGATGAAGGAGGAGAAGCTGTTGATAGGGGGAGCTATCAGCGATTAGTGGGTAAGCTCATTTACCTATCTCACTGCCGTCCTGATATTGCAGTTGCTGTTAGTGTGGTTAGTCAATTTATACATGCTCCTCATCAGATTCACTTTGAGGCTGTCATGAGAATCTTGAGGTACTTGAAGTCTGCTCCTGGTAAGGGTCTTTATTTTTCAAAGTATGATCATCTTCGTGTGGAAGCCTATACAGATGCTGACTGGGCTGGATCAGTAACTGATAGGAGATCGACTTCAGGGTATTGCACCTTTGTTGCAGGCAACCTAGTTGCTTGGAGGAGTAAGAGACAGAATGTGGTTGCCAGGTAAAGTGCAGAAGCTGAGTTTAGAGCTATGGCACAAGGGGTGTGTGAACTTTTATGGATCAAGTTATTGTTGAGTGATCTAGGTATTGATCAGACGGACTCTATGCGGTTATACTGTGATAATAAAGCCGCCATCAACATCGCTCACAATCCAGTTCAACATGACAGGACAAAACATGTTGAGATTGATCGCCACTTCATTAAGGAGAAACTCACTAGTGGTACCATTTGTACTCCTTTTGTCCAATCTGGTGAACAACTTGCTGACATTCTCACCAAGGGGGTTAGGAATAAACCATTTCATGACATATTAGGCAAGCTGGGCATGAGAGATATCTTCGCCCCAGCTTGAGGGGGAGTGTTAGCATATTATATTATTATCTGAGTTTTTGGGTTTGTAATTATTCTATACCCTCAGGGCTCATCTTGTAATTGTCTCATCTTGTAATTGTTACAAACCCTAATCTTCATTTATATAAATAGGGGATGATATCCTATCAAACCCTTAAGCTGGTTACTCAAGCTTCATTTTCTGCTCAAACACCTTGAGTTTGAGCGGGGGTGTGAGAATATTCAGATTATGAAAATATATGTTTTAAGTTGATTGTATCTTTTAGATTAATTGTGTGCATATTAGATTGATTGTATAGGGTTATTTCTTAGATTAGGTTTAGGATTGTTATATATATCGGTTGTATTCTTTGTATTTGACACGTTGAATATACGTGTTAATTCGCTTCAGAAAACTTACAAGGTATGGGATGGGTACATTTCAGGTATAGGATAGATATGTTTTGGGTACTTTGGGGCATAAATGTAAATTTTAAAAATGTAGGGATATTGGCATAATTATATTGTGCCCGTTCTAAAATTTTTAAAAGAAAAATGTTTGATGGCTTGAACTTGTGTGGCTCGAATGGCTCGAATATGTCAAAACGACGTCGTTTTACACTCAAAACGACATCGTTTTGTGTGTTTCGAGCCATTCGAGCCATGAATTTTCGGGCTACTTATCATTGTTGTTTTTAAAAATATAGAGTATTTTTGCAATTATAACGAATATAAAAAGTATTTGGGTTTCTTTTTGTGACCATCACAAAAATACTTTAATTATTTTTCACGTTTGAATTCTTAATTTTTATATGCCAGGTACTAATACTAGTTATAAAAATAAAAATGTTATGGATGTATTGGGCCATACTCGTATCCTACTCTTTTTAAATTTTTCCGTATTAGTGTCCTTGTATCCGTATCCATACTCATAGCTTTACCCATGCTTCCTAAGTCATATTATTTTTTTACTTTTTTTAGATTCAGACACACTTCGACACTTGGAGAGACACATATCTATTGTTTAGAGACACAAACAAAAAGAAAACATATTATAAGTTTGAACAAAATAACTTAGAGGATACAACGATAATATATATCTATATATAAATGTATACCTATTAATTCTTCTTCCTTTAAATTTAGGAAGTAATGTTATGTTGTATTTTTTATTATCTTCGAATAAAATATTCACATATATGACATATAAAAAATATATAAAACCATAGTTTGTGCATGTTTTCCACTTCTTGTTTTCCTGCATTTTTTGAAAATTGACGTGTCGGTGTTTTTTCTTGTCATGTTGCATGTTCATGCTTCTTAGAGGTCTCTTGCGCTTGTATATCGCACATTCATTACTTTTGTACCCATGTGATGTGAGACTTTATTTCACACCCTCCCTTACGTGTACAGTGCTCATTCAACAGCACCTTTCATGTGCAAGCTAGGAACATGCACCCTACCCATCCCTGGGTACTCTGACTCTGATACCATGTTACACTTCTTGGGTAGACCTTCACCCCAAAAGCTAGCCTTGAGGTGAGGGTTCCTTTAATGCTTATATATTGCACATTACTTTTGTACTTATGCAATGTGGGACTTCACTTCACACTCCCTCACCCGTAGTGTGCTTATTTGGCAGCACCTGTCGCGTGCATTGCAGGAACATGCACCCTTCCCATCTCTTAGTTCTTCAGTTTTGATACCATGTTACACTATCTTGGGTAGAACTCAACCTCAAAAGCTAATTGTTGAGGTGCGGTTGCTCTTCGCTTAATAATGCAAATTACTTTGTACCTAGGCAATGTAGGACTTCGCTTCACATCCTCCTTCATGTGTAGCGTGCTCACTGAACGCCATTGAGATCCATAGAGATGGTTTTTAAGGTTTGATGACAGTCCGAGCAGTCATCACAGAGTCTCAAATTTATGGGTTTTGATACCTAAAATTCCGACCCCAATTCATACCCAACTTCTTTCTTAACTAGCAAATCACAAAACCCAAAAGCTATATTACTTGGAATATGGATCGTTCTGGTACGTAGAGCATGAATGTGAATAGTATATACCACATGCTCTAAATTGTGGCACAATAAGGGTAGACTCATGCAATTTATAGTTTACACTATAAAAATTTAAAGTAGTTGTAGTCTAGAGTAATTTCTTTAAACAATTAGAATAAAATATTGGTTTTTTTTCTTTTTTTTTTTCTTTCCAAATTAATCATGTAACATATTTCTATGAGCATTATGGCCAATTTTCGACGTTTTGTCATGTCAAAGCCTCAATCATCTTAGATTTTAGTTTATTATATTTCATTTCTTTTACTCCTAAGGAAACTTTAAGGAAATATATTAGGAAAAAAACTTTTGGGATAACTTTAGGAATTTCTTTGAATCACTAAATTCATTGTTTTGGAACGAAAGTGTATTATATTTCAGAACGTGTGTTCCAAAATGTTATTTGCTAAGGCATCAGCATTTCTAGTAATACTGCCCTAAAGTACGAGTTCAAAATACCTCCCTTACACCAATCTAACCTCCTTAATCAAAACAAGATCAATCCACAATTCAAATGGTGATACATATGCCCAACATATAGAGATATATATAACATATATATATGTATATGCAAGTAAGAAACAACTCCTACACTTATAATGTCTCAATTTGTCCATGTCAACATGATGCGAAAATGAACATTTTTCTTAAGAATATAAGGATGGAATTGAGTTAAGGAATACCTTGATTAAGCTTGATAGTTTTCTCGCAAATTCCTAGACCACCTCCTCTCTCTCTCTCTCTCTCAGATGAATGGTGTAAACCCACCAAATAGAAGACAAACTCTTGTACACACCTCCATAAGATTTTGACACCAAAGGACACGTCACCCCTCCAAGAGATTGCATGCATGAGGTGTTCTCACCTAACTATGCCACATAGCCCACTATACGCTTTAACTGTGTTAATTACATCAAATTAAACATAATTGCTGATTAGTTACCAACATCAATGAATTAACTACACGATGCTAAATCTAGCAATATCTATCAAGATTAGGAATAATAATGTTCCTAAAAATTTACAGGTTAATTATCCAAGATGAAATCCACTGTAATTATTTAAATATTATTTTTAGTAGATGTCTAGCACATAAACAGTTATTCATCAAGTCATATTCTTCTTCAAATTAAACAAGTCTAAGATTAAATTTAAATTATTTACTTAAAAGAAAGTGTTTGGTAGTTAGTAACACATAATTGGGGGAGGTAATACCCAGTGTATTACACTTAAAGAAGATTTAGATATTTTTATCTGTACAATTCTGTGCAACTTTTTTTTCTCAAAACAAACAGAGGAAATTAAAATTTTTCTTCTTTCTCTCTCCATTTTTCTTCTTTATTCTCACTCTTCTTTTCTTCTTTGTTGTTACTCTCCTACCAAACATAGTACATGAAGGTAGGGAAGTGAAAAAAAAAAAAAAAAAAAAAAGACTATAAGACGTAGTGCTAGAGAGAGTGAAAGATCCTAGTCAATCTGCCCATTGGAGTCTGGTAGAACTGTGGCTCTTTTGATCTTTAGGTTCTCTTTGCAGAGGCTGTCCACTGAGAAGTATTGAATATGGCATTACAATAGAATGGTGACTAGTAGATCTGACCTGGTTTGCATTCGTTTGTGCTCATCCATTCACACTCTATCTAGTTCCATTTCACTGATTTTATCTATCATCACTCAATCTAGAATAACCCTTAGAGATTTTGAAATGGCTAGAAATTATCCCAAGGCTTTAGACCATGTTGAGGGGAGTGATCACCCTATTATTGCTTGAGAAGTGTTTATATTGTGTTGTAACCAACTAGCGTAATTTTTGGAGTGGAGTTGTGATGGAGTAGTAGAGGGGATCTTGGACAAATGGGAACCTTGATGGACCAATTATAAAAAATTTGCCTCTTTAACTTTCTGGTATTTTATTTTATTTTATAGGATAAATGATCACAAATAAATCAAAATCTAGTAACCAAGGAGAATTGGAGGAGAGTAAGAGGCAAGGATGACCTATGACATGGACTCAGGTATGGGTGACAAGTGCGGGTGCATATCTAGAAGTTGGATCCATCAAACTTCAAATTTAAGGGTACATGGACTCAATAAAAAAATGGTCATATTATTATATGTTTAATCTATAATATGAGATAAAATGATGTTAGAGATAAAATAATGTTATATGTAACATCCAATGTCTAAAAGGTTTCTGATTCATTTTTTAGCAATTATACAACAATATAAACAAATAATAAGAAGTGTATGATGAAAAGCATCATATACATATCCCACATCCTTGTCTAAGTATCGAGTGTCTGAGACATGTATTTTTTTATTTATTTTGAAGAGTTCATGTAACATAAAGGGGAAATTGAAAAGTCACTATCTTATTTACAATTGTTAAATATTAAATATTCACAATTTTTGTGGATAAAATTTAGGCTAGGTTGTCTAGGTAAATAGTATTAGTTAGTGTGTCCAAGTGTTGTTGATTACCATGAGAGACTTTGTAATTGTGGCTCTGTATCGACTTAATGTATAAATTGGATTTTGAGCATGTTGCACTTTTCAAGAACACAATTTTCTTGGTAAAATCAACTTAGATTTGTCATCTCTTGAGCTCTTTCTTCTCAAGAACATCTCAAAATCGAATTACCTATTTTGATTGGCAATTGGAGTTATAATTGTATTAGGAAATTGGTTCTCTCTTGCTATAAAAGTACATTTAGATCACTAATTAATTTGATTACGTATCTAAAAGAAGGTTAAGAGAGAGAAGCCTTTTTCACCAATATTAAGTTTGTGTTCAATCAACTTTGGGTCATTCGAAGTTTTCGCATAACAAATCCGGATATGTTATTTATTTTCACGAGATAGTTGCCTCACAAACTTTACTTGCCTCGAAGGGCTCTCTTTGGGGCTAGAGCCTCAGGTTTCTAGCAACTAGTACATACAATATACAATATACGATAAAGTAGTTTTGGATTCCTAACCGGATGGATCCAGTGCATAATCCATTGGGGTCTTGATTATCAACAAAATTTCTACCATCTAGTTCCTCAAGGAGTTCAAATCTTGCGCTCCTCTAATTGCTTATGAGAAATGGAAAATTAATGAAATTGAGCTTATGAGAAATGGAAAATTAATGAAATTGATTCAACATTGATTGCACCTCTTTGTAGAGGGGCATGAAAACTTTGTGCACTCAAGCAGCCTTGGACTAGACAAATAGTAAGCTCCATGCAAAGCTTGCTTGAAGTATGCTCGAGTGGCTTTTGTAGGTTTTGCATATTGTAACTCTAAAGAGAGCCACTCAAACCCATTCAAAGAGTGCTTGAGTGGCAACATATTTTGTGATTTGTGCACAATTATTTTTCTAAGAAACTATAAATTGTTAGATCACCAATTGTCCCAAATGCTTAAGTTGTTACGAAATGTGCTCCACGATGCATATCAAGCTCTCCAAATAAATAGGGCAACTTATTTTTATTCTAAACGAATTGAAGACTAGTCTAGTGCCCTAGTCTCCTAAGGGTTCTTTTCTAGTAGCCTATATCAATATTAGGCCCCGTTTGGTTTGTGGTCTTTTGGCTAAAAAAGCCAACAAGTCACAAAAAGTCAAAAAAAGTCAAAAAAATCAAAATGTGACATCATATACATCAATCAATCACTTCCCCCCGACCCCCCAACTATATATTCAACCAAAATAATCATTCCAAACACACTTAACATTTTTCATCACCTCAAAAAAATCAAAAAATCATTAAAAAAGCCGAGTTGCCAAACGGGCACTCAGAGATAATCTTGAAAATTTTAAATCTATGAAAAGCATGGATATGGGTTCAGATGTTGGTATAGATATGTTACGGGTACAATGATCTGACAAAACTTTAAAAAAATGAGATACCGATACAATAGAGGTACGCCCATAATATATATATATATTTTTTTTATAGTTTGTAGTAGTGCATAATATATACCAATTAGAAAATCAAGTGCAAAAATTAGTTAAAGTAAGGTACTAACTAGAGAAGAAGAGGCCAAACAGATAGTCAGAGAGAATATGAGACTTACTGGAAGGCGTCAAGGAGACTAGTGAAATTCTAAGAGGGAGTGCGAGCGATATGGAACGTTCATGGATACTCATGGAAACTTTATAATTTTAATTATATCTTTAATATTTTATTTTATTTATTTTTATTTTTAGTTTAATTAGGATCTTAGTATATTTAGTTTCTTATTTAGGGATTCTAGTTTAGGGATCTTAGTATGAAGTGGAATGAAAGGTGGTTTCCTTGAGATCCCCTTGTGGAATGTGAGTATGAAGTGGGATGAAAGGTGGTTTCCTTGAGATCCCCTTGTGGAATGTGAGGAGAACAATATTATCACTTGTTATACCATTAGACCATGAGTTTTTCATTTTATTTTTATAATGCGATATCTATGTTTTCTGGAACGTGAATTGTTTTTGTATGGGGAAGGGGAACGGGAACATGGCACGTCAAATGCTCTAAAATGTAGTATGATAGGAGTAGACTTATATATATTACATTTATGAATTTAAAGTACTTCTAGAATAATTTTTTTTTAACTATTAGGTATCCAATACAATTTAGTTTTTTTTTTTTTTCTTTATCTAACAAAACATTTCTATAAACATCATGATCCATTTTTTATGTTTTGTCTCGTCAAAACTTAACTCACTTTAGATTTTAGTTTATTATATTTGATTTTTTTCCTCCTAAGGAAAAATTAAGTATATTGAAGAAAAAAATAAAATTGAGATCGCATCTGATGACTAAATTTACTGTTTTGGAATGAAAATATACCATGTTTTGGAACGTGCGTACCGATATGTAATTCGGTAGGGTGTTACCGTTTCTTTCTGGTAACATCGTGCGACATCATTTCAATCATGTGAATGGAGTGAAAACAACATACTCAGTGTCATGTTTCTTAGCATTGTTTTTTTTTATTAGTATTTGTGGACAATTACTTCAACTTGTCCTCTTGCTTAAACATTACAACTAGCCCTGATGACTAACCTGGTTCTTTTCTTCTTCTTTACTTTTTTCCTCTATTTGAATTCTAGTTGCTCGGTGCTCCTCGGATATATGAGAAATATGAAGGATCTGTTCTGAACTTTTTTAAGGAAATTCCTGATGACCAATGGGTCAGGTCAACTGATTTCACTCCGTCGCACTGCATTGGCCACTCTTCTGCTTTGTGTTTGGAGCTTCCAAGTTGGGTTCCGCTTCTAAACTTCAGTGACTATTTTGCATATTATAGAGAGAATGAAGGCCCATTCGTTTTGAAGAGTGGTTCCACTTTTTCTCAAAATTTGGATCTAGTACCCATAATGGGTCCTCCTCAAGGACTCGAATTGCCATATCAAATATTGTTCAGAATCTGTATGTTGGTTCAGCAAGGGTGTATTCCAGGACCAGCACTTGATATCAACTTTTTTCGGTTGGTTGATCCCAAAAGAAATGATATTGCATGTGTAGAATATGCCCTTGAGAAACTAATTCATTTAAAGGAATGCTGCTATGAACCTGTGAGGTGGCTCAGTGAACAATTCATAGAACTCCGCAAATCAAGGCAGCATCTTAGAACACCTGCTATTGCTTTGGATGATGGATTGGTGAATGTACGCAGGGTTCAAATAACTCCATGCAAAGTGTATTTCTGTGGTCCAGAGATTAATATGTCTAACCGTGTATTACGCCATTATCACGAAGATATTGATAATTTTCTTCGGATTTCTTTTCTTGATGAGGAGTTGGATAAGATGCACTCAACAGATTTATCCCCACGCATAGCTTCTTCAGATGAGGAAAGAAGAACGGCCATTTATAAAAGGATTCTGTCAACTCTTAGAAATGGCATTGTTATTGGCAATAAGAAGTTTGAATTTCTCGCCTTTTCATCGAGTCAATTACGGGAAAATTCTGCATGGATGTTTGCTTCGAGACCTATGCTAACTGCTGCTGACATAAGAAAGTGGATGGGTGATTTTCATCGGATCAGAAATGTGGCAAGGTATGCCGCCAGACTTGGTCAATCTTTCAGTTCCTCCAGGGAAACTTTGAGTGTTGGTAGGGATGAATTTGAAATTATTCCTGATGTAGAGGTTGTAAGAGGTGGAATCGAATATGTTTTCTCTGATGGAATTGGGAAAATATCTGCTGACTTTGCTCGGAGAGTGGCTGTAAAATGCGGCCTTAAAAGTTCGACTCCATCTGCCTTTCAGATTCGATATGGTGGATACAAAGGAGTTGTGGCTATTGATCCAACTTCATCAATAAAAATGTCTTTAAGAAGGAGTATGTTTAAATATGAATCGGAGAACACAAAATTAGATGTTTTGGCATGGAGCAAGTATCAACCTTGTTTCTTGAATCGCCAGTTAATCAGTCTTTTGTCTACCCTTGGGGTCAGGGATCGTATTTTTGAAAAGAAGCAAAAAGAAGAAGTAGATCAACTTGATACCATCTTAACAGATCCTTTAAGGGCACAAGAGGCACTGGAATTGATGGCTCCAGGAGAGAATACTAACATCCTCAAGGAAATGCTTATGTGTGGATATAAGCCTGATGCTGAACCATTCCTCTCAATGATGCTACAAACATTTAGGTCGGCAAAGTTGTTGGAATTGCGGACTAGAACAAGGATATTTGTTCCAAAAGGAAGGTCAATGATGGGATGTCTAGATGAAACCAGAACCTTGGAATATGGGCAGGTATTTGTGCAGTTTTCTGGTGCTGGAGATAGGATGCATGGTGATAGTGGCTCGTCACAGCGCAAATTTATTGTTGAAGGGAAAGTAGTTGTTGCTAAGAACCCATGCTTGCATCCCGGTGATGTTCGTGTCTTGAGGGCTGTTAACATACCAGCATTGCACCATATGGTGGATTGTGTTGTTTTTCCGCAGAAAGGATTGAGGTAAACAACAGTCATAATCTCCCGTTGAAATTGCTTAAACGTGTCTTGCTTTAAATTGTTAGAGGTTTAAAACTATAATTCTTACAATGTTGTATATTCTGCAAAAATTAAGTTCACAAGTGTTTAAAATTAAATTTGTAATATTTATACCAAATTCTTTTTATGAAGTTTTATTTGTAGTTTTTACTGTTGAGTAGTTATAAGGTATTATTATACTTTAGTATCTCTGTTATAAATTTGATATTTAAAAGGAGAGATCTCTATGCTCTCCAAATTTATGCGTCTTCTCTGTTTTCTTCTCTTGTTCTATTCATTTCTTATTCTCGTTCTTATGTTTAAATGATTTACAAAACTAACTTAATATGCTCTGGCCTTACATGCAAGTAAAAACATAATATTTATATTCAGGGGCGAAGCCCAGATTTTTTTTTTTTTTGAGTGGGATTAGTTAACATATAGTTTATGATATTAATTTCTTTTTCTGTTTCTGGTAGAACTTACATAAATTAACCATATTGCAGAAAAATAATTGACCAAATTTGTGCTTGTATTCATAAAGAACAAAATTTGAATGCTTATACCATAAATATTTGTCTATTATTGTTTACAACTAATTTTTGTACTGATTGAAAGTAGGTCACTAGGTTACATTTTAATCAAATGCTAGTTTTAACCAAGCTTTACTGTTATACACATATGACACTAGATTACAATGTTAATGGTATGTAAACTTTCAGCCAAGCTGTACTAGATTACACATGATATTCGTGTTGCTAGGACGTGCACTTAAATCTAATTGATCATAACTTAAACACTTATCATGTTAGGTATAGGAAATTGATGAAAACTGAGATTCCAAATCTAAAATTGATCTAGTACACATCAACAAGTAAAAGATCAGCTCTATAAAAGTCTTGGCTGAAACTTGCTTTTGCTGGTTTGCAACAAGTGCTTATCTTGTTTTCTATCTTCTTGTGTTTCTTTGTCTAGTCTCTCCCATCTTCTGTGAATTGACTTTAACTCTAATTTCTTACTTGGGAAACATGTCCTTTACTTTTTTTGGTATTAAAGTTTGATCTTCACTTACTTTTTCTGATTTTAGAAGTTCCAAACTAATGTAGTCATCTCTTAAATCTAATTGATCATAACTAAAACACTTATCGTGTTAAGTCTAGGAAATTGATGAAAATTGAGATTCCAAATCTAAAATTGATTTAATACACATCAACAACTAAAAGATCAGCTCTATAAAAGTCTTGGCTGAAACTTGCTTTTGCTTGTTTGCAACAAGTACTAATCTTGTTTTCCATCTCCTTGTGTGTGTTTTCTCTAGCCTTTCCCATCTTTTGTGAATTAACTCTAATTTCTTACTTGGGAAACATGTCCCTTACTTTTTTCTGGTATTAAAGTTTGATCTTCACGTACTTTTTTCTGATTTGAGAAGTTCCAAACTGGTTTGTAGTCACCTGTGATGTTTTTAAATGACTGTTAAATTTGGCTTGATTTATTTTCTTCTCCTGTAAGTATATCAGATTGGTATAAATAGCTTTCTTATTTGTTAGTTGTTACTAAACTTTAGTTGACTCTAATAACAGGCCTCATCCGAATGAATGTTCGGGGAGTGATTTGGATGGAGACATTTACTTTGTCTCTTGGGACTCTGATCTGATTCCACCGCGGCAAATCAAACCCATGGATTATACCCCTGCACAAAGTATGCTGTTGGATCATGACGTTACAATTGAGGTAGTACTTTCCACATAATTATATATTGCAGTAGTTTTCGTGATGAGACAATAAAAAGAGGGGGTGCATGCGCAGCACTATATGCTGTTACACTTTTGGAACTCCTTATTTTCTCCCTATCATATCTCTAGCTTCACTCATGGGTTGTGTTCTCTTTCTTTCTTTCTTGCTACTGTAGCATAATATTATAAAGAAGTATCATGCCGACCTTGAAATTCTCTTAGCACTGTTTCGTAATTGTTGTTCATAATGCCTCACTTCAAATGCATCTTGTGATTTGATTTATTATTTCATGTTGCCCTTCATTATCTTGCTTTTCTTATTTGCTGCATGCTTGTGTGAGCATATAAATATATAGTCACGCATCTTTGCAAAAGATGACAATTTCCGGTTTTCCATGAGGCAGATACACAAGTGTACACTATAGAACAGTTTACAAATGGACAGTTTGGAGTCGTTTCCTCCAGCTGCAGAAATTTTTTAAACCTACACGAATGGAAAAACTCTTTGAGAGTTGTCTGCATAAGATCTCGTGCTTTTGAAATGAAAACAGGACAACATAAATACCCTATGCTCAAGTATGAACTACCAGACAGTAATTGATGGTGCAACCCTTCATTGGTTGGATGCTAATTATCCACTTAGGAAGCCTCGGATGAAGCCCATGGGCCCATTGCAGAGAAGGAAATTTTTTTGGTTCTATAAATGTGATTGGTAGATTTTATTATTATTAATATTTAGTTAGAATCACAAATGGCCAGCCTAGTGGCATCACCTCAACACGTCCACAAGGAAGGTTGGGGATTCAAGCCTCAATAGGGGTATGGGTGTTTGGGAGGGTAGGACATTAAGGGATATTCGAGAGATTTCGCCGATCAAAAAAAGAAGTTAGAATCTAAATAATTATTTGTTATGATATTTGATTATGTTTTCTAATATTAACTGTTTATCATTTTTCTATTTTAACTAGGGTTAATGAGCTATAAACTAAGAAGCACGGACACGTGAGACAACACGACATGCACACGGACATGTAAATTTTTAAAAAATGCAGGACACGACATGTTAGGGACACATTCAAAACATATATTTTTATATTTTTATCATATGTATATTTTTAAATATTTAATATATGTTTTATGACAAATATTTAATTTTATCAAATTTATCAACGTTAAGTATGCTATTTTAGTATTAAAAAAAAAATTATAACTTTTTAAAAAAAAAATAGCCCTCAACGTGTCCCTTGAGTGTCCTCAGCGTGTCCGCTACGTGTCCAAAGTGTCCCAGTGTGTCCACCTCTTTCCAGCGTGTCCGACATGTGTCCGGAGTGTGTTCGGCGCGTGTCCGTGTCCGACATGTACGCGACCTCCGGAAAGGTGTTCATGCTTCATAGGCTATAAATATTGTATTAGTTAGATTTGGATTACTAAATTGTGTGTCTCAAGGTTGTGGCCTCTTTGTGTGTTTTTGTCTCTCGTTCTAACTATGTTCTGAATCAATTTGGTATTGGAGCTAAATTGGAGATCCAAAATCAAAATTGAAATTGAGACAGTGGGAGTGAGAGACAACCTACCCATTGTCATCAACGGTATGTTATCCCTGCCTCGCAGCGATCCTCATCAGTTTTCCAAATGGGATTTCAACGTCTAGAATTATGATGTGGTTAGAAAGTATGAGAACTTATAGTTTCTCATTTTGGGAAATTTCACCACCAGTTTTTCAAATGGAATTTCAGAAGTATTATATTTATCTCACTGAATGTTTCTTGCTGTTGTAGGACAGCACTTTGAACACTCTGCCTGCTTGTGATTGATCATTTGGTGATCTTAAATGATGCAAAAAAGATTGTAGTGCTTGGTTTTCTAGGTGATTTGTAGCTGAAATTTGGTGATTTGTATGTTTCAGAAAAAAGGATAGGGCTTTGGAAGTCAGCTTCTGTGTTGAAAAATCAAAGAAAGTGTTGTAATACGAATTGCCTTTGCTGAGAATCACAAATATTCTAGAAATGACTTGTAGAACTCCTTGTCACTTGTCAACTAATATAGATTTTGGGTTGCACGCTTGCATCACATATTCCTTTATGAGCTTTGAAGAGCCGCTTTAATAATTGCGAGTTAATTTCTACTGAATTTTAAGGCTTACCAAGTTGTTATTTAGAGGCTTTTGGTCATTGCCTACTAGTTTGAGGACTCCAAATAAGAACTTTAAACTTTAATTAGTAAAACCAAGCCAAGTGGTTTGCATCCACAGATGGCCCAAAAACTTCCTAAACTAGACTGCTAAGAAAAGTAGAATCAATCCTGCGCTTGATTTGTGTTCCTGTACACTCGAGATGTTTGATAGAACTCCAAGTTAGCCATGTTCAATGCTCACTCAAATCTGTCTCATTTCCCCAAAACTTGTTTCTCTGTTTTATTCTACACATCACATGTTTTCTTGTGCATTGCAGGAAGTCGAGGAGTACTTCACGAACTACATTTTGAATGACAGTTTGGGAATTATTGCAAATGCCCACACGGTTTTTGCAGATAGGGAACCTAACAAAGCAATGAGTGATCCTTGTATAAGGCTTGCAGAGCTATTCTCAATTGCAGTTGACTTCCCAAAGACTGGTGTACCGGCTGAGATACCATCTGATTTACGTGTCAAAGAGTATCCAGATTTCATGGAAAAGCCAGACAGGACTACGTACGAATCAGAACGTGTGATTGGAAAGCTTTTCCGAGCAGTGAAAGACATTGCACCCCACTTAAACTCTATTGAATCTTTCACGAGGGAGGTGGCGAGGAAGTCATATGATCCTGACATGGAAGTGGATGGTTTTGAGGATTACATAGATGATGCTTATGATTACAAGAATGAGTACGATTTCAAGTTGGGAAATCTCATGGATTATTATGGGATCAAAACAGAAGCTGAAATACTTGGTGGTAGTATCATGAAAATGTCGAAAACTTTTGACAAAAGAAGGGATTCAGAAGCCGTTGGATTGGCTGTAAGGTCTTTGAGGAAGGAAGCTAGGACTTGGTTCAACAGGAAAGAAGCTGCATCGGGTGTTGGAACTGACGATGTATATGCAAAAGCATCAGCTTGGTACCATGTTACATACCATCCTAGGTATTGGGGTTGCTACAATGAAGGAATGAATCGGGAACATTTCCTTAGTTTTCCATGGTGTGTTTATGACAAGCTGATCCATATTAAGAGGGACAAATCTAGTATTAGGAGGGCTCTCCATTTGTCCTCTCTTGAACGGCAATTCAGTTATGGCTTGAGTTTGAGTTAGATATTCAGCAAAATCCAATTCCACGTTTAGTCGATTTGATGCATTTGAAGATAACCAGAACTTTATTATGTAATATATATGGGTGTGTCTGTATTTTATCTTTGTTGCTTATTATGTGTGTATATTTTCTGAACTATTAGATGTAAATGCTCTATGCTGATGATTGGTACTGGAAACTAGTAATATGTGATTGGAAAGATTTTGGGGTTTTCTTTTTCTTCCTTGTCTTGGAGTTCTGCAGCTTCTAGTGATTTTGCATGGGCTTGGGCTTGCTTTTGATGATGGGTAGGCTTGTTGTGCTTTTGCCCTTCTGTGGTCTTTCATCGAGGAAAGTAGGCTTGATACGCCCCCCAAGTCTTTATTTGTAGGACTTACTTTGATGGTTCATGTGGACTTGGCTCTTTCATACGGGCATTTTGACTATTCTTTTTCATCATGAAAGCATACTATTGCATTACATGTTTTAACATTTGTGTGACTTGCTATATGACTTTTATTTGTGAAAAATTCACTGATTAACGTATTCTGAGTTCTGCGACGTGTCCATGAAATGCATGCTTTCAAGAATAAGTCTATGAAGTATAGGGAAATGGATTTGGAAAATTAACCCAAATTTGCTTCTGCATATGAGTGCATGATTATCACCAGGGATTTTTTTAAAAATCAAAATTGGCCGAGGTTTGCTTCTCTTTTCCGCCTCTACTTTTAATGTCATCTTCATCAAAATGGCTTCCTGTGCCATCTCCAATCATCTTTTTGTTTTTGTTTTTGGTGCAGAGGAAGGAAAACAACAGAAAATTGAACTGGGGCTAGTTTTTTTTTTTTATATGCATATGTATGTTGTATAACCAAGGGCTACTTTGACTTCTACCCATTTTTCTGCAATTTTTCCTTGATAGTTTGGTATACCTTTTAAATTTTATTGTCATCACAATTCATTTAGAAAGGGAAAAAGTGTGAGAAATTAAATGAAATATAAATATATTTTATTTATATTTCATTTAATTTTTTTCTTTCCAAATCCATCTTCAAATGTATGAACCAAACACAATTTTAGTAAACTAGATGTGAAAATAAACCAAAACAATATGATTTCTCAGCTAATGAGAAAAGAAAATAACTATTATAATTTCTCATCATTATATTTAAATGAAATAAATAAATAAAAGCTTATAATATTATTTTTTGTATTTTGTAGATAGACAATTTAAATAATTTAAAAAAATTATAAAAACAACTTTCATTTCTTAACAAATCTCATAAATTTTAATAAAAATCAAAACCTAAATTTTAAGAAAAGTTTCTTTTATTTTTTTTGTTTTTCACAATTTCTCATTATTTTTAGAGCATCATTAATTCTTCACATATCCTTCATCAAATTTAAATTTGATTTTAAAAAAAATGGTAAAAATGAGATTAATTCTATTTATCAAACTTATATCAAATTAAGTTTTTATCAAAAAATTCATCAAACGAGGAATGAATTAAATCTTTAATTAAATTTTTAACAATTACTTTTCACTTAAATTTAATGAAATCATTAAAAGATAAATTGAAGATCAACTTTTTTGTTTTTCAAATAAATTAGTTATTTAAAAAAATTTGATGAAAATTTAATCAACTAAAGATTTTATCTAAATTATTAAACAAATTTAATGATTTTTTTTTTTTTCAATGGATGTTCTCAATAATCTGAACACAAGTATTGAAAGCTGTCAACTAATAATATTGTTGGAAAATAATGGTTTTCGGCAACTTTAATTCAAAATTAAAGTGGGATACAATCACCGGTTGAGGTAGATTTGAGTAGTTTTGTATTTTCTCAAGTGAGAAGATTACAATATAAAAATGATGGACCGAAACAATTGAGTTGTGAATGAGAATTGTCTCATAAAAGTTAGGTTTGAGCCTAGGCTAAGACTTGGATTTAGTTTTAGTCTTGGTCTAGACTAGCCTAGGCTTGTGTATATGCATATATTGAATTCAGTCTTGGGCGTGGCCTTTGTGTTATGCTGGACTGGGTTTGTCTTGTGCATATGTTTTAGACTGGGTGTGGATCGGGTCGTGACCCAATACTCATATCCATTTTGCAACCTATCTAGTTGGATTATTTAAATAGCATTATATATATATATATATATATATTCAACTTTTGTAACTCTCATCTTTTGATGATAGAGTTGATGATCATTATGTACATGGGAGTTTTGCACCTTTGTAACTTTAACCCTAAAGGCTAGAGTTTATGGCCATTGATGCTAGGTTTTATGGTAGCCTTCATGGCTAAGACCTCTTCCCTACAAGTATAAAAAAATGGCCTTTTCCTTTTAACTTAGAAGAAGAGTTTTATAAAGATTTTTTATGGAAAATAGAGATGTTGTTTTGAGATAAAAATAAAAAGTTGGAGATGATTTTTTACACCAAAGAAAAATTTCCTATCTTCTTTTGCTAGTCCATTCTCTGGTTCTTGTTAGAGAGAGTGCAACCACTATCAAGTTTGCCGAAACTATTTAGAAGGTGCTTCTGTATTAGTTGGTTTCGACTGTCGTATCTTGGAAGATAGACGCCAGTGTACCTTCAGCATCTATCGGGAGGCGGTGAATCTGTTTTAAGAAAACTGTGGTATCACACTGGCTTCGGTTTGCTTCCTTTTGTTAGTTTTATTTTATTATGAATTTCTGTAAATTCCACCATATTCTTGTTCATGAAATTCCAATTGTTTATTCAACATGAAGCTATTTATTTATTTAAGTACACAATTTATACAACAAATCTAAAAGGCAAACTACATTAGGGGTTATTTGAAAGGGAAAATTGGTCTAGGGTCCCTCACCCACTTTTCATAATGGAAGAGATCCACAAAATTATTTTTTGATGTCTAAGGTCTCTAAACATATATCAGAGAAATTTGACTTTTGTCTCTACTCTACTCTCTCTCTCTCTCTCTTCTCCTCTCACCCATTGTCTTCCAGATCCATGGCAACAAGCTCTGCTCCTCCACCTTCCTCTACGACCTCTTCCTCAACACCTTCTCTTCTGACTCCTCCCTCCGCTCCGCCACCGTCGCAGACCTCCGCGCCGCCCGAATCCGCGACCCGACCTCATAACAAGTCGCTAGTATTCTCTAAACCTGAGATTCATACATACATATATATATATATATACGCATGTAGTTGAGTCTTGAGGTTGTAAAATTCTTTGGGTTGAGAGAATTTCTGGTATTCTTCTTGGCTTCCAAGTTCTTGAAGACAATTCCTCAGGTAGTGTTTATTAATCACTCGCTCAAATTTTTGATGATATTCACTTAATTTATATATCTTATTGTAAGTATTTATAGTAGGTGCAAGTGCGTTAATGAATTTGAATTTTTGTTCAGGCCGCTGCGACGACTTGCTACGTTGCTACGTATCCGAGGCTTGAAAACGTTTCTGGAAAGTACTTGGCAGACTGCAACGAAGCTTCAATATGGAAATTGGGATCCAACTCTACCGAAGCTGGAAGGTTGTGATCTGTCTTGGAGCTTATGCCCCCAAGAAGTTCTCAAATTTCTCTGGATTCAACCCAGAGAAATTTGAATTTTCTCTGGATTCAACCCAGAGAAAATTCAAAGGATCAAACCAACATTCATGTTTATCCTGATTGGGCAGCCATGCAAGTTTTTCATTTGATGCATGCTCTTATGGAACACAAAGAATCAAGTTATCATGTTCCAATGAATTTTATGTTTCAGTATTGATTCAAGATAGTTTGTTGCATCTTCAGGCATACTTTGGCAGCAGAGTGACTGTATCACCGTATTTCAACTCAACTATTGCATCTGGTCATGCCCAGAGAAATTCTTTGGGTTGAGAGAATTTCTTTGGCTGTGAATTTTCTCTGGGTTGTGGAGTCCAGAGAAATTCTCTGGGTAGAAGAATCTCTGAAAATGTTTGTCTGAGAATTTCTTTGGGTTTGGGGAGTCCAGAGAAATTTTGAAATTTCTCATGTGTCCAGGGAAATTTTGAAATTTCTCTGGTTCAACCTTTGGACAGCAAAAGATGGCTCTGTTTCTCCCAAGCCAAGTTTTTTCCATGAGAATTACTGCAAAAAGCACAAAATCTGACTTGCTTGGAGGAGAAACTCCAAATATCAAGGATGGAGTGAGAATATGGTTGATCCAATCTGAGAATGATAGGTGAGAGAAATCATCTGTCCTAATACCCAACTTGGCAAACCAAATCATCTTGATGGGTTTGCATAAGAAGAACAGATGGACTGCAGATTCAGGTTCCGCTCCGCAGAAGGGACATTCAGAGGAGTCTATTTGGATTTTTGCTGAGACTAACCTCCACAGGAAGATTTTTTGTCTCTTATGGATTGTGGTTTCTAGAACTGTACACCTCATTTTGGCTAGAATGAGAGGTAAATTTTAGACAGAATTGAATTTCTCTGAATTGAATTTTCTCTGGTTTGGACCAGAGAATTTCTCTGGATTAAATTTTCTCTGGTTGAATTTTCTTTGGATTGAATTTTCTTTGGTTGAATTTTCTCTGGATCGAATTTTCTCTGGACTGAAATTTCTCTAGATTGATGTTGAGGGACCTTAGACATCATGAAAATAGTTGATGTCCTTTATACTATAAAATCATAATATCAGGGACCTTAAAAAAAATACCCCTTTATTTGAAATGGTATAAATAAATATATTTTTTATTTAAAAAATGTGTAGAAAGTTAGAGAGGTGATGTGACCTAAATAAATACACATATTTAGTTTATGCCAAATAGTGCCTAAGAGTCTTGTCTCATTTTGGTTTATGTGATTTTAATTAATTTTTATCTTTATATCATTTTGATTTATATAATTTTAATTAATTTGATTTTTATTATGAATTTATGATTTTATTTTAGGGGATTTTTTTTTAAGGTCTCTAGTATTAAGATTTTATAGCATGAAGAACATCCAATATTTTAATAATGTCTAAGATTCCTCAAATTGATCCAGAGAAAATTCGATCCAGAGAATTTCTCTAGACTTCACAAAGAAATTCTCTCTAGAGAAATTCTTCCCAACCCAGAGAAATTCTCTCAAAACCAGAGAAATTCCTAGAGAAACCTTTTTAGAGAAATTCTCTCCAAAATCAAAGAAATTCAATTTTCTGTGATTTCCAATGGTAGCTCTTTACTCATTTCTCAGACACATTTTATCTTCTTCATCATCTTCATCACAGACTTTCAACATAAT